GACCGCAGGGCGAAATCCTGCGCAAGCCATTAGCGAGAGCTTGCGAAATGCCCTCGCGACTCCGTTGGTGGAGGTGCGGCAGTCCCCGGGAACGCCTTCCACAACTGCTTTGGCTTCCACAAGTAGTGCCACTAAGAGTGAGTGTTCTATTCTGGGCGTTTACACCTTAGCATTGACAACCTTTTTCAGGGCGCCGTATAACGACCACAACGTCAGTCAAGATTTCTCCGGTTGCTTCTCCCACAAAGCACAGGTCTGCTTCGCCAACGACGGTGGCGAACTCCTCCCACGCGACTGCACACCAACGATCGAGGCTCTCCCGCCAAATACACCCGCCGGCTGTCGAAGATGTCGACATGGACGCAGAGGGTGAAGAGGACGCTGAAGGGGAGGATGCCGAAGGGGAGGACGAGAGGCTCTACTGCTTCTGCCAGAAGCAAAGCTACGGCGATGTGAGTCGTTCGCCCTACTTTCCCCTCGCTCCGAAGCTTACCTTGATCATGCAGATGATTGCCTGTGACAATGAGGGCGATTGCCCATTCGAATGGGTCAGTTTTGCATTCTTGGTCAAACGTGTCTCTTCTTTCCTGACGTTAGCATTAGTTCCATCTCACGTGTGTCGGCATGAAGCAGCCGACACCAGAGAAGTGGTATTGTTCAACCTGCGAGCCCAAGATCAAGGCCAAACTCGCGGCGGCTGCCCAGCCCAAGACCAAGAAGGCGACGAAGAAGCGACAGTGGTGATCTCTCGACGGGTCGTAATGGACCCCATTTGCCAGCAGTATACCCTTGGCTATTTTATGGAATTATTTATTCTCTTGTATTTGCCTTACTGTATCGCATTCATTTTAGTGCGCTCCTCGTTGAAATCATTATGAAGAAGTCCCCTCTCCTGCGCACTTCGGCCGATCTGACAATATTCCGATCACACAAACTAGATCACTTCGAAGGCAGGCTTCTTCTCGTTCCTGCAGAGATACATTTTTAACAGCTTCTTCAGATACGGCGTGTACTTCCGGGCGGCCATCTGCTTAACTCGCGTGGCGGATGAAAAGTTTGTGCTCGTGACATATCTTTTTTTACCCACCACCCGTAAACCCCTACTTTGCCCCTTAGCGTACTTGGAGCGGCCGAATGGTATGTCGCTCCGCGCCTTACACGTGGCAGAACGTGGGTTCTTGTGTTTTCCCTGCGTAATGCAATGGATATTACAAACCAGCAAGCTGGATAATTTATCCAAATTTATTCAGCTCTTTTCTTCCTTGAAGAGACGTGAAAACCCTACGAGAGGGGTATAAAAGGCCTACTAAGATCCCCAATCCCTCAGTCGAAAACTCTCAGTTCACCGACCTTCATAACAACAATGCAGTTCTCTCGTATCTCCACCGCTCTTGTTCTCTTGGTCCTCACGACCTTCGTTTCTGCTTGGCAGACTGTCACGGTCACCACCGTACGCCAGCCTTCTCCTGTCGTCCTAGATACCCCCATTAATTTACCTTTATTTCCGATAGTACGCCCCGGTCCCAACCCCACCTCCCGCCAGCCAATGCGACACTTCCGCTCTCTGGTGCTGCAACGAGACGCAGTCGGTAAGTATGAAACGCCTCTGCAAGACCACAATATGCTCATCACAACCGTAACTTTTTAGTCCAACGGTAACGTCGTCGGAGCGCTCCTTGCGCTGTTGGGCATCGTCGTTGACCCCATCAGTGCGCTTGTTGGTTCCGGCTGTAGCTCCATCAACGCCCTTGGCGTTGGTGTTGGAGGCATGTGCACCGCCCAACCCGTCTGCTGCCAGAACAATAACTTCG